GGTGGCCCTGCCGTCCCCGGGAGGGGAGGAGGGAGGCTGAGCTGCCCTCGGGCGCAGGCGAGCCTCAGGGCCCGAGCTGGGGGAGGACTCGTCCACAGGCATAGCCAGGCCCCGTGCAGGCGCAGCTGTGCACAGGCTCTCTCGTTCGGGTGAGCGAGTTATCTTGGAAGTGAAAATAAACCTGGTGGCCGCGTTTCCATTAAAGGGCTGCCCCAGCAAAGGCCTCGCAAACTGCTCCCCAAAGGTAAACCTTGCTGCTGGAGCGTCAGGAACGGCCGGCCTAACATACTGACTGCGGTTTGCTGTGCCGCGTAGTTCGTCGGTGGCACCAGAATACGATTTAAACGTACTTCAATTCGGTGTGACGTTGGTGGGCAATTTTAAGAGGATGCGAGCAAAATAAATTACAGCAATGCAAGACTATGGACTCTTGAGTGTTTCATTGAAGTTCAGGACAAAATACTGCAGTTTTCCGCACAGAATCGCTTTTGGTTATTTAAATAAATTAAAGCCATGCATTATACATTTTATCTGTATAACACACATGGTATAATTACACGAAGAGTGATCAAATTACTCTTTCCTCACACCAGGATAAACGCTAACGGCATTAACATTAAATGCAGGCCGCTTTACAGAATACTTCATTAGGGATAGGAAGACCCGCAAGACCCGCTTGTATGCTTTCCGTCATGTTTTCCATCATAAGGCGGCGTGTCTTTTTGGTGGCACTTCCAATGTGAGGAGTTATTATAACATTCTTCAGCTTTAACAAAGGGTGATCCCTGGGAAAGGAAAAGAAATACTGAGCTAGTCACTCACAGAGCATTCATCTGTTATTTCGTCACCTGAAGGGAGCCAGGGAAATATTTAAAATAATAATTAAAAATAAAAACTAATTGCATGACCCAAGCATACTCAGAGGAGTTCAAACTGCTGCCTAGCTTGCGGTTTTTTTATGCAACAAATCCTCCAAATGAGTCAGCGTGAATTTTGTTTGGCTAGGAGAGAAGGATTGGGGACATCGTTTCTGTAGGACTAGTGCACATACATCACATACTCCTGCCAACAAAGTTATGTAACTTCTCACGTGCTTGCAAACCTGAACATTGTTTGAACTACATACATACACTCATTTATATTTAACTTAAATACATGTCCTACCTTGGCAAAGGCTCAGGATACGTCACATCCAGAGCAGCTGCCTTAATAACTTTGTTTTGAAGGGCTTCCACCAAAGCATCCTGATCCACAACCAGACCTGGGTTACAGTAAGAAGGATACCTTTACTTTCATATTCCGTACTGTTCTCTCACCATCCTTTTGGACATGGTGGTCAGGCAAACGGCAAGGCTAGCCATGTTCACAAAGCAGCAGCGGCAGCAGGGAGAGGGTGGTGAAGCGGGAGGAGGAAGCTTGGGTACGTGCGTCAGAGTTGGACGGTCAGGAATTTTAAAAGACAGTACGTAGCACCATAAAACAAAGCACAGTGCCAGACTGCAGAGTGGGCTGTGCCACCCTGATGTACGTTAGCAACAACACCGCATAAATAAATAAAAAGCTTAAGTAGGAGATTATACAAATATACATGGGCTTCTAACACTCCAAGCTCACTAACATTTTAGAGACCTACTTGCTCATAATTACGGAAATGCTTAAACGTTTTGCTGAGGTATGACCATGGCCATCTAAATAACCTAGGAATCAGAGAATGTACCGAAAATTTCAGAGTGACAGACTCTATATTAGGGTTGGGTTTTCCCAAGACTTTTAATGCCAGCCTGCATAATGCAGTTTGTTTATTCTGTACCCTACCTCTGCTGATATTAATGAGAGTAGCTGTGGGTTTCATCAGCTCCAGCTCCCTCTTCCCAATCATTTTTTGTGTCTGTGGAGTCAGGTTCACAGACAGCAACACAAAATCTGACTGCTGGAGCAAATCATCTATCTTCTTACAGTAAACAGCTCCAACGGCACTTTCTTCTTCTTTGTTTCTGAGGGGAAAAACCCAAAATTAAACTCCAGTAGTAAGCAACAAAAAAAAGTTGAAATCACCATTAGAGAAAAGGTTTTTTAATTGTCTTCTTCGCTCAGTAGTGCAAACAGTTAGCCAGTTATCTGACTGAAACTCAGTAAAGAAGAATGTTAAGCTGTTTCCCACAATACCAAGTGCTCTATACACAAATGTGCAGTACTGTACCTGTGGGGATGGAAAGTAAGAAATTAGTATCATGTAAATGCACTGAATAAATAATAAAATAAATGCATTTGTGTCACAGCTTCTGGTTGTAATGGGGATTCTTTTGCAACCCAAAAAGCAAGACTGATGTTTGGCATGAATTCCCTTCCCTGTGAAAAGTAACTCGTCTGAAAATTACTGAGGAAACCCACAAGACAGGGCAGGGGTTAAATCTTCAGAAATTTGTGTCAGCAGCAGTCTGCTTGCTCTGTGCTTCAGTGCTGGTTCACTGAAACCATACGCTGCAGGACCTGCCAGTGCATTCGGTCCCTATCAGGACAAGGTTGGGGCATGTACTGCCCAGCTCCCATCAGATTCCCACAAAAGAAAAGGATGGAACGGGCCTGATGGGAGCCATGGCATATGTGAAGGGCACATACACCTCATCTAGAAGACAGCAAACAGGCTGGCAAGTCCGGCCTTTCATTGTCAGCTGGCTCTGAAAGGGCGAGATGTCTCTGCCTGCGTCCCTGCCTCACCTAAGTCACAGGAGTTATGTCCTCCCAGACTACTTCTCCTTTCCTCAGTCTATTGCAATGCCACCGGCATGACAGGAAGGCCCAGGGAGCCCTGACTCACGGGGAGACCAGTGAGATGTATCTCTCCCACTCCTTCCTGACTTTTGTTTCTGTATAAATTAGGAAATTAATGACTGTCTTGAAGCAAGTGTACGTACTTTGCCACTTAAAATAAAGAGCCAATAATAAGGCAGAGACTTATTGTCATGGCCCTGAGGGCACCACCAGCCCTGGCTGTCCCTGCCCAGCCCCCTGGGGCTTCCCCACATCCGAGGACCCCATGGCAGCTCCCCCCGGGGCTGCCAGCCCCTGCCCCAGCGATGCCGCAGCAGGGCCGGTCTCCAGCTCCCCTCAGCCCCGGTCTGGCCTCCGCCCTGCCTGATCACCATGAGCTCACCTGATGATTTGGACTTTTGGGTGAACCCGGCCACGATCTGTGGCCCTCGCTGCTCCCTGGCACAATATTTAATAACAATAGTGCAGAGAGCACATCATCCTACCCTAACACGGAGAGAACAGGAGATCAGTTTGACAGTGAAAGGTACAAATAATGTTTAAAAGCAGTGACAAAATAGACTTTCCACAGAGCTGCAACCAGCTTTACCTCTGATTCCTATTGTGGTACAAAATCTTCATTTCAAAGGCTTTGGCTCTCTCGGCCACTTTGTAGCCAATGGTGCCCATTCCCACGACCCCCAGGGTCGCCCCAGAAACCTCAGCCCCCAGCCAGTCAGCGGGGAAATACTCCGTGTCGGGGGACACTGCCATCTGATAGCCTTGGAGGAGGGAAAAGAAGGAAAAATGTCATGTAAAGGATGTTCTGGCATCTGGTTACTTTTTTCCCCACTTGTTTTCATCATAGGACAAGGCAGAAGCAGAGAAGCAGTAACATAATGTTACTGTGTTTCTGGGCAAGAAGTGAATAATGCTGCACTGTCAACATGACATCTGACATTGATTTCTTGCTTAGGATAGAAACATATCCAGCCCCCCTTTGGCAGACAAGGAAGGTAAGGCCAAAGCAGCCACCTCCCTTCGATGTATATCACACAGATTATTGCGCCATTGAAATGCACCTCGGCAACACAGCTTCTAACTCACGGTGGTTCATCAGCAGGGCTTATGAAACTGGCAGTGCCACGGATGTCACCTATATTGTAAACATGGAATGGTGCAACTGATGAATCAGTTCTAGTATCATCAAGACTGTCAGTAAGGCCAAAATATGATTCCCAGCTATCTTGCAGATACACCAAAGTTGGCAGGGAAAAGAAACACAGAGCATGGTGGACAGATTTCTGGACAGCTTGTTCATAATGACTCAGATACATGTCAGCTTGGCAAAGACAGGTTTCAAGCCTCCTTGAAAATATCTCCTTTTAATCTCCTTTTATTAAAACTTGAAAAGCAAGACTGCAGTGAACAAGTAGAACGAATAAGTGGCCATGGGCTGAGGGAGAAGAGGCATGAATTTGGGGATGTCTGAAGAAGGAACACATCTCCCTTGCCGATACGCCTGTTTGGAAATGGTATGTACTCCATGCAAGTTATTGTCAACATGACAGATTTGTCTTAATTTTTTCCTCATCCCTGTATTTTCCTGTATTTCTACTTTTAAGCTTACCTTTGCATCAGCGCACACTTTCTAACTGCAATTTTTGCAGAGTCACCTTTCCTATAAAAAGACAAAAATCATTTCACTTATTACCTTCCACAAGTCTCCTGGAAGACGCCAGCACCAAAGCCATTCCCAAGTCTGCAGTGTCAGTGGAAACAACAAATGGAGTGTTGGAGGCTTTCACACCATAGCTGGAGAGGAGGTTCAGGTCCAAGTGATCTATTCCCACTCCAGAGCTTGCAACTATCTTCAAGTTAGGCAAGCTCTGGAGCAGCTCTTCATTAACAACTGGTTTGTGATACCACATATAAATAGCTGTGATCTTTTTGCCGAGAAATTTCTTGTTTTCAAGATACTCTTTCATGGTGATGAGATGAAAATGTTTCTCCAGAAATTCAGCGTGGTCTTCATATACTCCATGCTTCCCTCCTATACAGTCAATTAGCACGTAAGGCAGTTCCTGACCCTCCATGCCCTACAAAAGCAATGAGAAACCAAAAGGACATGTCCTTAAGTGACCCATTATACCTTTTTTAAAAAACAGGAATTGATTGGCTCCATCACATGCTGTTTTCCCACTTGATAACAGAGTTGGCTAAAGGCACTCACTCCCACATGCAGAACTTTTCTTGTGTTATTCAGAAGGATATTCAGTTTTTATATAATCTTGTTTAATAAAACAAGAAAACATTGTTTCGGGCATACCAGCTATACTAACACTTAAACAGAAGAGCTACCAGGTGTTACTCCTGTTCAATATTCAATATTTAAAGGCCAAACTCCTGATAATTTAAAGAATGTGGCCATGTGAGTGGAAGGGTATCTTTTCGCCCCCAAGTTCTGCCTTTGATTGCCATCTGTGCAACCATATTAAGTAATTAGCATGAACGAGATTATCTCAGGAAAAGTCTTGGTTAATGTAACAGAGCTGTAATTTGCCAACCTCGGACTTTGGAGTTATCAATTTACTCCCTGAACACAGGTTTACCCTTTTTCCCCTCGGTCTCCTTCAGCGTCCCGACAGCTCTTCGCTCTGCCGACTCCGGAAAGAACCAAGCCTCTTACCCCAGGCTGAAGACAGGAGACCCGCAGCCGGCCCCTCAGCCGTGCGTCAGGGGACGCAGCCCTCGCCCCAGAGCTGCAGAGCAGGCAGCTGCGCAGGGGGCCGGCAGCAGCCGGCAGTACTTCTTCCCCGGCTGCGC